AGGAACAAGACATGATTCAAGTTACCCAATTCACGAAAACTCAACGAAACGAAGCAATATCAAACACAAATCCACATCACAATAGGTTATCGGTCAATTACTAGATCTCACATCTCCCAAGCAATTCAATATGCATTTCAATCACATGTCACAACCATTTCCAATACACAGGTCAAATCACATTTCACTTCATCATACCAATCAATATGCTTCCAACATTATATCTCAATACATACCTTGTAACATATCAAGGAATCACGAAGCACAATATTAATATTTAATTACGTTAATCAATCAGTGAGATAACATATCATTTCACGAATTTAATTAAAGAACTCTACATAATTCTCAACTTGGGTTATGACTAATAACATGGTAATTCTAATTTATTTTCACAATATCTATTGTGGGTAATTCCCCTCTACTCGAATTTAGGATTCTAAGATCGCCTTACGGAATGAACAAGAGCAAGGATTCCGGACCACTCAACAGAATCCAACAACATTGGGTTCCCGACCACTCAACAGAACCAAAATATCAAGCGGTTTCTCATAATCTACCCAGACCTGTCATATGTAAAGTCAATGCCAATATTATGGAATTGGCGCACTGGCAAATCAGGCACTCAGATAAGCTGAGAGGCTGGGGTGAGGGACAATAAAATAAGCATGTGATACAATAATAAAACCAGCCATCAATCACAATTTATAAACCTTGAATATAAATCTTTCATAAGAAATGAACACCAAACTTTTGAAAACTCCAAGGGAGTCACCCAGACATCCAAAAGTTCATTTCAAACAACCATAACATCTCACACCCATATTCACATACACACCATGAAAATAGAATTAGGGCGACACAGTTCATCCAAAGCCTACACCTTTGCAACCATCTCAAACTAAATTCAATGAACTAAGGTGGATACAATCCTGGACCATCACTCAACTGGATCGCGGAGTAAGAGGGATTCCGGACCATCACTCAACGGAACCCAAACCAAGATACGATTCCTAACCATCACTCAACAGAATCGCAGAGTGGAGTAGGAAGGATTCCGGACCATCACTCAACGGAATCCAAACCAGGATACGATTCCGGATCATCACTCAACGGAATCGCGGAGTACATTGCATAACCACCAATCAATGAAACAACACATGAATCAAGTTACTCAAGTTATGAAGGCTCAACGAAACAAGAAATGAAATAATGAAACGAGCATTGACACATGTTTCAAAGCAACAAACCCCATGACAATGGGTTAACGGTCCACCACTAGCCCTCACCTTCATCAAATCAAGCCAATCACACAAAACAAACCATATTTCCAATATGCACGTCAAATCCCACTTCATATAACTATATCATTGGCTAAATATGAAAATTAACAATTTATAGGAAAAATGATTATAAAACCATTTCATATTCACATATATTAAGTCACTCACATTTCGTCATATCATACCATCTATGTAAATCAACCACCTTTCAAATATGCACGTCAAATCACATATCACGATCATCTTCAGTACACAAGCCAAATCATGTTTGATAAACATAGGTCTATGGCTATATATATATAATCACATTTCAATAGAATCACATTATAAGACCAAGTCAATTTCACAGATGATACCAATATAAGAAATCAAGGTAATAAACATATCACATGTGTTCAAGTCACTCACTAACCAATGTAGGCCCACTAGACTTCACTTAAGTCTCCCATAGTACTAATTTTATTATTTAGAACGTTATGAGACATGTTAACCATAATTCAACTCTCGTTCAACGATGGGGTCCACAACGATCTACAAATCAGATTTATGATACATAACTTCCCAAAGTCCACATTATGCTACGAGAATAACATACTAAAGTTTCATTATGATCCAATGGTCGGATTGTCGTCAATTACACAAACAAGTGGCGGTCCAAATTGATCACCACACCAAACAATTGAATCTTTGGAAACCGAGCTAGACATAGGTTCACATGGTCACTAGAAGGTATTTGAAACCTAGACAACACTTGTGAATGATCCCACGCACCGCCACACGCGGTAGAAGTCAAGATGGAGGGTTTAGAAACCCCGAATTTTCAACATTAACTAGACGAGCTCAAATTTATGTGGTAGCTAGAGCTCAACAAGGGAAACACTTTTCACAACTAGGCCGATGATAAATTCTAACCGGAAATCGTCCAATTTCACCGGAGAAAACAGGATTTCTAGGGTTCTAAACACCCAACTCTAAAATGAATATGAAAGCACAAACTAAGCATACCCACTTGAAGATTATGAAGAGTAGATGAAGTTTCATATCTCACCCGAAGGAAATTGTTGCCGGAATCGCCGGAAAAATGATAAAACTATCGAAAAAGTCGTGGGCTTTGCGACCTCGTACTGCAAAGATGGAAAAGAAATGGGGAAATCTAATATCACAGAGATGTAGGGCTCGTCAAGAGCTTTCCATGGACACCAAGATCACCCAAAACGAAGCTCAGATGAAGAAGATACAAGCGGGTCAAGTTTGGTGGGTTTATGGGTCCAATTCTCCCTAAAACGGGTTAGTGCAGCTCCCCCTCCCATTTTCTGAAACCTCCCCCCCTTTTCCGGAGGTTTCACTCCAATTATAGCATTTTGGTAAAATTACCAAAATGCCACCAACCGTAAACGACTCAAACTTCTTCGTTTGGACTCAGAAATAAGATCTGTTTACACCTACGCGCTCATGGAATCGAACTCTACCTAACCAATTCAAGAGTTAACCAAAAAGGTCGAGAAAATTAGAAATGACTAAAGTACAACTTACTTTGTTTTTCTTAAATTTGGAGAAATAAAGAACTAGTTCCAATCAAATCTTCGAATTACGTCAACAATAAAATAAAATAATAATTTTTGGGATGGAATATAACAAGTATAGTTTTTTTTTAGGTATAAATAGGCACTTATTTACAAGATATACAATAAATTTACATAAATCTTTCTAGGCCTTATGTCCCTGCCCGCCGCCCAACTAACGCCTAGCAATTTTTAAAACCTTGACCAATAGTACTTAATAGCACTATTTACTATGTTCTGTTGATGGTGTTACTATCCGCACACACGTTTGCTTTATTCGGAAGGAAAGCCTCCCCACCAAAATAGGCCAGTGGCTTTAGGTCTAAATGCACCCCAAATCTATGAGGACAAACTTGATATTTCGTCTATGTGAAAATTGGACGTGGCTTCAATGTTATTAGTATTTTAACAGTAAGATTTGATTTTTACAATTATTCAGATTTTCTATTTTTAATCGTTCAATCATTCATTTTTTGTATCATTCAATGATACGCAATATTGAAGAAAAATCTGTGATGATACGAAAAACCTATCGAAAAAATTGAAAAGCAAACCAAGAATAATTGCGATCATTAGCATGAAATCGTATTGGTCAAACTTGAATGCTTTTCAGTTGTGCAAAGATTTGAACCGTACTGTTTGAGTTTACAACTCATTCAACATTCATAAAAACTCGTTTGCAAGTTGTAACAATAATATAAACTCTTCTGTTTCCGCTGTTTGCACTTTCTAAAACACTCTGCAAATGAAGAAAATCGTTGTTTGAATAAAATTTAAAGGACAAAATCTCGTCTTAATTAATCCGAACTCTTCATTACATGCAGCATACCCATCACAGATCAAAGTAGCTCTTTGGACGACAAATTTAAAACATTCCCAGAATTATTTAAAATTTGACAGGAATCGAAGCTATTAAGATCACACTGCGAACATATTATCATACTGAAGTACATTCAGTAAAGTATAGAATTCCGTCATAGAAAACACATCGTTAGTGTACTGTCGGAAGCAGATTAAAGAGTATGTACAAGCTGAAAAACCAGTAAACTCTCATAGCCAGTGGAAACCACTATCAAATGTGAAATTGGTTACTTAGGCATAGGCTTAGGTATATGGCTTTAAATAGTACACAACATACCTTTCATAACTTGACCAGTCCCGAGCTCAAAAGATATTGGATCGCCCTTTTCAAAACTAGAATCGAATACAGTTCCATCAGTAGTTTCACCTGCGAAGGTCGAAGACAAAAACTTTTAGTCATTTCAGTCTCATAAGGCCTTCAAGGGTGTAACCAGATGCCTATTTGGTTTCGCTTCAGGTGGATTATGAGCTCCCTTCTAACCATGACATATCAAAAGACGTATAAGATCAGGAGTAACAAATACATATATACATGGACAGCATAAGTCACATATATGTAAGAATATATATTTATTTGTTATTTTTTTTAAAATGGGTCAACTAGTGGCAAGTCACGATTATCCAATTATTCCAGGAGACGGGAAGACTCACAGAGGCATTTCAGCCTCCCTCTGGCCACAAGTTTAGCTTCCACACCAGCAGCAGGTTTCGAATCCGAAATCTCCAGTTTTTAATTTTAAAGAAGCCTCGTAATATGTAGGAATATATTTAAGAAACGATGAAATAACCATTGATTTGTCGGGTTTCTTGGGCAACGCTTACATTAAAACCGGGTACGACTCTCATTTCCAAAGTTCATGAACAGTATTACAAGATTTTCAGTTCAAGTAATAACAAATAAACAAAGAATATGCTTTGTTTGGCAATCAAATTTATTTACGATGTGCTTATCTGATTTTGCAAGAATATAAGCTTGAGTTCAATTTGTTTTCATTTAATTTATTCAATTCAACAGCAAATAAAAAAATCATTTAGAATTTATGGATTTAACTTATTTATGATATGCTTATCTGATTTTGCAGGAATACCTACGACTCCTCTTCACTTGTAAGTGAGAGGTCTTAGGTTAGTCAAAAACGAATTTGAATCACATTATTGTTAACACATTTTCTCTCCTTTAGTGTAAATGATATCGTTTGTTTAAAAAAAAAAAACAAAAAAAACAAAAAGGAACGCGTGAGAAGCTATAAATGGTATGCAAAAACCGTCTCCCCAGTAATATGGCAGTGAGATATGAAAGAAAAAAAACTCGCCGAAGCTTGCACGAACATTAACAATTTTAACCGTATCATGACATGACAAGTGAAGCCACTATTTTTTGGTCAATGTGAAGCCACAGACAATCGACGCTGATTACAAAGTTAAAAAAGTACACTAGAATGTAGTGTAGTCTAGTAAAGATACAAAGGAAAATAAGGTTTTGGCTCCACTGGGTTGTGGATACAAGAAACTTCTTGAAGAAAACTAAGAACGGAATCATTCCCCAACTACAGCTCTTCTGAATTTTTTCCCAGAATTTCCACCAGCTCGGTCTCGAATATCAGTGTTGCACCACCTACAACGTTCAAATAACAACCTCACTCATTTGATATTCTAATAAATTAGTACGTTTCACGTTAAACGAGGTCTGGACACGCGAGGAATGGAATAATTTATTACCTGGGATGGTTGGTGGAGAACCTTGCTCCCCATAACCTAGTTTTGCAGGTATCTTCAACTTACGCTTCTCACCTACGCACGTTCCCAACAATCCTTGGTCCCATCCTGCAAAGAAGAAATCCTTCATTATGTTGACATTCAATTGCGAAGGTAATATACTACTAAGTTTTCAGTAACAATATATAAGATCTTAACCAAAGTATTAAGAGTGAAGAACTATATGCATGGTTCTAGTAAAAGGCTACCATGCCATTACATGCAGCATACCCATCACACTTGATCTTTTCCAAAAGTGCATGGCAACATAGATCTTTGGACGACACACTTAAGATTGTCAACGTGGATGGAAACAAAATGCAATGAGGACAATCTAGTAAGCATTCTTTACAAATCCAGCATTGGTTAAAAATTGAAAGGAATCCAAGCTATTAAGACCACGAGTTGAACAAGTATAATACAAAAGTACACTCAGTGAAATTTAGAAAATAGTCATAATAAACCCATCATTATTAGACGAAGCAGGTTAGAATATTGACAAGCTGAAAAAAAACCATTAAACTCTTATAGCCAGTAGAAACAACTAGTGAATGTAAAGTATCTGAAATTGGTTACTTATGCATAGACTTAGATATGTAGAATGATCAAATGCTTCCTATACGAACAACTGTCAAGCTATGGGTTTGCCTATAACCTGCTATGCATTCCAGCAAAAGGTATTTTTACAAGAGTAAGAAAACTACATTAGAATATGGACACGAATTAAATAGCAAACCCCAAACCTTTTATAACTTGACCAGTGCCAAGCTCAAAAGAGATTGGATCGCCTCTTTCAAAACTAGAATCAAATACAGTTCCATCAGTGAGTTTCCCCTGCAAAGGTCAGAGACAAAAAACTATTAGTCTTTTCAGTCTTCACTATAGGATGAGACATTGGCTCAAAAATCAAACTTACAGTAAGACAACTACATGAATGCAGGTAGAGTTTAGATATTGAACGAAAAAGATTGCAAGCAATTATGAAGAAGCTTCTGATGAGCTGAAACTGGTTATTAGTTTCTCTCAAATTCCTACATCTTATTGAAGGAGCTTTTTGGGCCTAATAAGCTCACCACATAGGGGCCGGATAGGGGGGATCTGACTGATAGAATAGACTAGCAAAAAATACGAAACCAATACCACAACGTACATTAACATCAGTCTCCACCAGATGCTATTAGTTTCACTTCAGCTGAAGTATGAGCTCTCTTATCACCAGGACATATAAAAAGACGTACAAGACCAGGAGTAATGAATATATAAGCAGCATAATTTACATAAGAAAAGATCCAAGAAATGATTAAATAACAATTGCTTGGTCAGGTTGCTAAAACAACGCTTCCAATGTCATTAAAACCAGATATTACTCTCATTTTCAGCTCAAGTAATAATGTGGCGATCTAAAAGAATATGAATGCAAAGCTTGAACTTTGTTAAGAAAAACAAAACGTATGCTATGTTTGTAATCACATTTATTAACAAAATGCTAATCTGTATAAGAAAGTATTTATACGCATATACCATCACACTATCATGACATCCATCTTACATATCACTGTCAACTGTTCCATAGATTCTACTTACCCGATAGTGTACCCTGACTGTATCACCTTTACGAGCCTTAAGTTCACAAGTTTCCGGCTTATACTGCAAAATAAAAGCAAGTTCCAAGTATCAATAATCAATAAAGGTGAATGAAGGATGAGCTCCAAGCCTCCAACCAATTCTAGCAAACCCTCTTCATCCAAGGTTCCATACATGAGCAGGGAACAACAAAGAAATAACAACAATTTCTGAAAAAATCAAACCCAAGAGTCAGCCAAATCAAAAGCACTTCATAGCATAATGATAGGAGCAACCAACCCTTTAAAGAAAATGGCCCAAATCCAAAAAGCAAGCTGATCAACGAAAATAACGGGGCGCAAAAATTAACCTAAAGGTCTTAAACGAAATATACTATTCAAAAAGATCATAACTTGCACATGTGAGTTAGGCCATTTGGCCGCGCAAATCTTCGTAAATTGGAGTAGTTTAGAATACCGCTTTGTAAAGCAAAGATCATAATTCAATGAATCATAAAGTAAGAAACTTTAAACTCAACCAAGCAGTAGCCCCACACACAAATCACTACAAATCAATCAGCTCCAGCAAATCATCCACAATTTCGACATAAACATCGTTTCGGATTACAAATTGGACTTGGAAAACAGAAAAATGAAACACAAAACGAAAAGGGTAATTTACCTTGACGCCAATCTGTAACTCTTTGACCTCCTTGTCCGCAAAAACTAGATTCAGAAACCAAAAAAGCAAACAAGTTAGCAAATGGAAATTGAAATTTTTGTCCAAACGAAATCGGAAATTTATATGATTCGGTGAAAGATTTGAGACCTACCGGAGCTGGAGAGGGACAGGAAGAAGAAGAGGATGGCGACGGCCCTCATTGCAGCAGCAGCGGTGCTAATTTTTTGCGATCTCTCTCGGGCAGTCTGAGTGTGTCCGAGTGCTTTTTCGGTGGGTCTCGGGTTTTAAACGGGTCTCAAATCCAGGATTTCTATTGGTTATCAATACGTCGATATAATTCTTTTTGCTTACGTGGCAGTCGATCTGCACTTTGCTTTGCAACCCATTTTCTTTTTACTATTATTTTCAAGAGAAAAAGGTGTTAGCTCCCCTCTTCTTTCATGGGTTTTGCCGTTTTGGAATTGGGGCTACCACCATTTTTGAAGATTAATCAACCAATTAAAGCATCTCCAATGAAATTGGCAGGAACTTTAATTGTTGACATGTCGGTTAGAGTTTTTTTCTACCTTCAAATTTGAATTGGATGACATTCCACTTAAGATTTGATTTTCTTTGGAGATCAAATTAATCCCTTTGGTTGTCATTGACATGCTATTAACAATAACAAAGGTACATCAACTCTTGGAACTCCAATCATTTCAACAGAACTTCATTTGAACTTGCGTGTCTTTTAATGTCCCCAAACCTCAGAAGAGATTCCACCATACAACCAATAGTATAGACAGGGCCAATCTTGAGATTTTGGAGGCCTTGTGCGAGACTTAAATGAAGGCCCTTGCATGGTCTAAAATATTGGTTTCTCTTTTTTTCTTTATATTTTTTATTGTTTATAAATTGATATAACGAAAAAGAAAATAAATAAAAATGAAGCATGGTGTGATGGCTATATACCAATCTGCATCCCCTATGTTTTTTGGTTTGAAACTATTTGTTTTTTAATACAAAAAGCATGGTGTGGTGGTTATGTACCTATCATATCATTGTACAAATATTGAAATTAGAACCATTCTTGCTCATCCAAAGTTCATGTTTTAAATTTCAAGATTCGCATTTTAAATTAATTAAACCAAATTAACCTAATGGTGATCAATGGGAAGGGGGGGTACTTTAGGGATGCGAGGAAAGTTGCACTATAATTTTCTTATTGATATATGGAAGACTAAATGGATTTCAAATAGAATGAAAATTAAATAATCCTTAAATAGTGACCAAAAAATAAATAATTGACAATTATATCTTCAAACTTTTAAGAATTTTAATTTATTATGATATTCCTAATTATAAATTTATCAGCAAAAGTTATCTTTTGTAATGAAAGAAATTATCTACATATATTTAAAACAAGAAAAATAAATAAAAAATAAATAAATGGAGTAGCTAAAATGTGCCAGAAATGCCAAAATAAAAAAGTGCCAGAATGGTTGAAAAGAAATCATAATTAAAAATATGAGCAATCAGGGACTCGAACCCGTTTACACGTAAATGGAAGAACCAGCACCTGCCGACTACGCCACACTACTTTACCGATATTTTTCACGTTTCTTGTATATGTAGAAATTTTTGGAAAATGTAAAGACATGTACAAAATATCCCTTTCGTCCTCATTTTATGAAAAATCGTTAGATATGAATATGTTAGACACTTGTAAAACGAGTGTTACGTATTTTATTATTAAAAATTGTGATAAGTTGATAAAGGTTTACATGTTTTGACACTACATCATTGTTAACTCATCCAGTCATACAGGAAAACAGAAATAAACTTACAAGCATCCTCTTCCGGGATAAATTTATGACCAACAAATTCTTCAAGTCATGCAATATAACACGCAAATCGCAGTAGCATCAATCTGAAAGCATGGCAAGATGGAAATACTAACAGACGACTGCAAGATCACTTCCTCCGAAAAAGAATTCACTCAGTTCCAACTTCTTGAAATTTGACATGTTTACCAGCACCTCCAGCATACATGTAAACTCTGCTATCCTCCAAATTACACTTCGACTCCAATGTATCCTTGAAAGGCATAAATTAACGTTCTGAGCGATCCCAACTCATCCTCATTAGAACATACATGCTATATATCTTCAGGCCGATAGTGGCACGGTCGGTCGCATTACTACATCCAATCAGCAACACCATATGAGATTTCGTATCTCATATATGAATCCAACAAAGGAAAAGGCATATACGTCTTGAGCTGAACTCAGAGCACAAGAATTGAACTACTCCCCATTTACAAAATGCAAAGCATTTAACAAAGTCTTGTAAGTCCTTTCATTCATCATACTATCCTTCCTCCGCAAATCCTCTAGTAGATCAAATGCCTCGACGCCCTTCCCATCCCGGCACAATCCTTCCAATAACGTCTTGTAAGTTAACAAATCAGGAGACATGGCATTCCTCAACATATCAAGCACGACCTCAATTGCATCATCATACTTGTGTCCCATAGCGAGACTGCAAATCACAATCATAAATGTACTACTGCTGGGCACCAACCCTTTTCCTCTCATTTCCTTGTAAAACCCTAAACCCTGAGCTACCCTCCCCTTCTCACATAGCCCCTTAGCAATGTAACCATAAGTATAGGCGTTCGGCTCACATCCGTACAACCCCATTTCGCGAAATACCTGCATTGCATCATCAACCTGCAAACACTTCGAATACGCCTTTATGATCATATTCAACACAAACGTATCCGGAACCACACCGCAAGCCTTCATCTGCTTCGACAAAGACCGCACGGCGCGCAAGTAGACATAGCAAACATGCATATTATTAAACCTCCTAAGCAAAGAGTTGAGCAGCAATGCATAAGTTTCCAGATTCGGTTTGCAATTCTCCGAATTCAACATTTTCTTATAAACATCAAAAGCACGATTGAAAAGCAGCTTTCTCCCGCAGCAAAATCGAATCATGGAATTGTAAAGGGGCACGCTAATTTCACAGGCGCCGGCGATTACCTCTTCCACCAGGGTTTCGGCGTGGCGGTAGCGTCTGCCGTCGAGCAAGATTCTGATCATGGTGAGGTATGTGGCGTGGTTGTGCTTGTAGTTCCGCTGCTGGGAGGTCCACCGGAAAATGTCGAGGGCGAGATCCGGGTCCGATTGGGCTTTCAGTGCTTCGTTCACTTCGGGTGGCCCGAACCCCGGTTTGAGCTTCTGAACCCATGTCTCGAATTGTTTTTCTAGCGGGGTTCGGGTGCGGAGCGGGTTTGTTGGGATAAAGTTTTCGGTGGGTGAGGAGGAAAAGAGGCGGTGGTTGAGATAGAGTGACGCGAGGGAGGACGGAAAAGACGGGTGGCCGTGAACGTGGCGATAGGGGATAGGTGGGAGTGGAGGAGAGTGAGCATTGGGGTTTCTGATAGTGGCGGTGAGGCCGGTGAGAAGGCGGCGTAAAGTCACCGTCATTGTTATATAGCGAGGGAGGGAGAGTGTAACGGCGGGGAGTATACAGTGAGGTGGGAAACAGGGACCAGCTACTGGGTTGGAAAGAGTGCTGTTGGCTGGGCCAATATAATTGGAGGAGTATTGGGCTGGGTCGAATTGGACTTAGGGTCAAATTATTGACTTGGAGTTGAACCGGGCCGGTCGGTTAACTTGGAGTCAGAAAATCTACTAGCCTAATGTCGAGAAATATATCCGTTCTCAATATTGAAAGAACTTATAGGTCCGATTATACATTAATTTTGTATTATTAGCCCGTTTAATAATTCTTGAGTTTAATTTTTTTTTTTCTTTCATATATTACTACCAGTCTTAATTATTGTAGTAATTCTCTTAAAGAAATATATTATGAGCTTAAAGATGAGGACAAAACCGAAAGGGTTGTTCAATAAAAAAGTAGTCTTCATGCCATATTGGAGACCACATAATCGATTGGATTGTGATGTGTTTAACGAGAAGATAGACTTCAAGCTGGTGATGGGATTTGCACATGATGGTGTCCAGATTATGAGGGGATAAAATCTCAGTCGCATGGTGGACTTCTACAACTCGGCAAAATTGGACATCAAGGAATTTATTCCGTAAATACAACAGGATTGACAACATAGAGAAGGTTTGGAACTTAATGCACAAATCGACGTTTTATTCACTGACCCCTAACCCAAATTCAATCTGGTTAGATAGGTTTGGGTTGGCATCCAACGGATGGCGCCTGTCTAGTTAGATGGGTTTTCCAGCAATAACCAGCAAATGCAAATGTCTGGTCAGACGATGTTAGAGTTGTAGAATTAGTTCGGCTTAGGAGTTTTGGTTGTTTGGTTAGACAGGAAGTCTCCTAAGTTCGATTGATTATTTATTTCAAGTCTCTGTCGATGAAAGAGTCAAATGAGGACACTTTATCAACTTTCTCGGTGAAGTGAGGTGTTACCCAAGTTATATCAGTGTTCAGCGCACAGGCAACCAAATCATTATTGAATTCACAATAATAGGCATAACATTGTCTTCAAATTATAGAACCCAAAGCCGAGAGTGTTCCTTCATTGCCTGAAGTTTCTCTATTCAGGAGTCAATAACGTGTAGTACCACACCACCACACTCAGAGATATTCGCCAAACTGAGCTCGGTACCGAATTGGCACGCCTATGTCAGCAAACAAGTCATCGAAGGACGTAGTTAACTTCTAATTGCTTCGATCTAAGTGCTACATAGGCTATAAAAATTTTAGGACCAACAAGCTCAGATTGTTTTGTCTTATTAATCAAATAAATTTGGACTGGGAGTGTTTAGGGGCAGCATTTAGGTGTTCTTAAAGTTACCTTACTAGACCAGTTAGGTTGGACAATGGTCGATGATATGCCCTAAAAATATGCCTCTAGTATGGAAATATTTTTTCTTATCACAACTTTATATTAAGTGTGTTGGAAATTTAAGCTAAGTCATGTAATAAATCAACATTTATAGAAGTAAAAATCTTTCACTTACAACTTAATAAAAAGAAGAGAGTTTTAACGAAAAGCTCACGGTATTGTTCACTTTAACGAAAAACCACATTTTTACACTAAAAAGTCAAAGCTGATACTATTCACTTTACTTTTTATTTTGTTCTTATTATTCAAATTCAAAATTTTCAAACCCTTCTCATTAATTTTTCATAAAAAAAATGCTACTAAATCTGAATACCTAAACTTATAACATAAAATTAGATATTTGACTACTATAGTACATTAGGTTACAAATCCAATGCCCAATATCGCCGTACGGGTATAACATGTTCCGCATTCCCAACGCCTTGTCCCACTTTTCTCACCAAAGCTAGCGGTCTTTTCCAAAGCAATATCTTTCATTATTTTATGTGTGTTTACTAGTCCATTGGAACCCTAAAAATTAAATAGTAATTGGACATTGGTGACCTAAACGTGGACCCAGGGGCATTCTTTTGGGTCATAGGGAAAATATAAATAGAAAAATAACAAGAGTTAAAAGGTTCAAGAATATTTTTCTTTACTTGTAAATGAAAAATTTTAGATTCGATTTTTGTTAAATGCGATTTTGAATTACATTATTATTAACCCATTATGAGGCTAAATTCAATCTTCTTCCTTTTAGCATAGATAATATTGTTTGTTTAAGAAAAAAAAGGTTTTTTTTTGGTCTAAAACACATTAAAATGGAACGCATTGATGGACTTGGGTTCTCTTTTCTTAATTCTTTATGTCAATTATTCTATTTCAACACTCAAAATTTATACACTTGCAAATTCTTAAATAGAAATGTGTCTTATATCATATAGGAGACTCACATAATTAGATTGTATGTCAAAAAATGTTTAAGTTTCTTGTGTTACCTTATTTCCATTGGCTAGCTATCTTGAATTTTTTAGATATAAAAGGAAAAAAACTTGGGGTGTAATTGGAAATTTATCTATTTTTCTATCTCTAAATAAAGAATAAGAAAATAATTTTACTAGCGATACGCAAACATTAGGTAGGACTATGTAGAACTGGACAAGACTGAAATATAACAACACTATGTTTTTATAGATGGGGAACAACTTTCGTAGGCAGGGACACTCCTCTTGCCCGGCGCTCTCTCACTCTCACAAACACACACGATCTTGATTAATTAACTCATTTCTTGTAATTTGCCTTACCTAAATTTTTCTTCATAGGCAGATGCTGGAAATTTACCAACGTGCAACATGAAGGCCTCTCTGCTGGAAGTTTATGAAGCTGCCGACACTAAACGACTAATTGTACTTTTCGTCGGTATCTAATTAGTCTCTTTCCTCCACCTTCGTGGAAACCAAGCAGACAAGCAAAAGCCTCATTAACTTTGTATTAAAACCCTGAAACAGTAAGACAGACAGGCCCCACTGTTTCCTTCTCTTTGCTCTAAATATCTCAACTTTTCTTGCCCAGTATAGTAATAGAGGCGGATTGTCTACCTTTATATTTTCATACTCTTTTTATGTTCTTTTGTTTACGTGATCACGGTTAAATAATATTAATATTTTATATTTTTATTACTTTTTATTTTTATAAAAAATTAATATAAAATATTAATTTTGATTTAATCGTGATCATACATCACGAAAATGAATAAAGAGAGAATGAAAATGAAAAGGCAGTCAATCCACCTCCGTTGGTAACTCCAACCATCTGATCTGATATTCCGTCTCCGTACTCTGTCTTTGCCTTTTCCCTCTTTCCTTTTCTCTTTTTTCAATAAGGTTATATTCCCAATCCTCGAAAACCCTGCAACATCTGACTCCCCTTTAATACAATGGCCAATAGCAGCAGCAGGAGCTCAGTGCTCCAGTTCCTTCATTTTATATCTGATTTTTCCTCAAATATCCAATCTTTGAGCTCCAAAACTCACAAATACAGAAAGTTTCTCTCTTTTTACTCTAGCAGCTCAAAACCTACAAAAATGGAGCTGGGTCTTCTTCCCGTGCTCATCCTCTGCCTCTCAGCTTCCATTTCCAGTAAGTTTCTTCCTGTAAATCTCAAAAATGGTGACATGGGTTTTGTTCATTGGTGTTTTTCTCTAACCCCGTTTGATTTTTTCAGGTGCGGAGCTCGCCGCCAAGGTGGGTGTGAACTACGGCCAGCTGGGCAACAACCTCCCATCTCCGTCGCAGTCGGTGAAGCTCATCCAATCCCTCAATGCGAAGCGCGTCAAGCTCTACGACGCCAACCCCAAAATCCTCACCGCCCTTCGCAACACTGATCTCCAGGTCTCCATCATGGTCCCCAACGAGCTCATCAACAACATCTCCTCCAATCAAACTCTCGCCGATCAATGGGTCCACGTCAACGTCGTACCCTTCTACCCGGAGACCCTGATTCGGTACCTCCTCGTCGGAAACGAAATCCTCAGCCAACCCGATAAGCAAATCTGGTTCAATCTCGTACCCGCAATGCGGAAAATCAAAGCTGCTCTGAAGACCCACCGGATTACAAAGGTGAAAGTCGGAACCCCATTGGCTATGGACATCCTTGAATCGTCGTTTCCGCCTTCGAACGGCACGTTTCGGTCCGATATTTCGGGTTCGGTCATCCAACCCATGTTGAAATTCATCAACAAAACCAAGTCTTTCTTCTTCGTCGACGTGTACCCGTATTTCCCCTGGTCCTCCGACCCGACCCACATCGATTTGGGCTACGCTCTCTTGGAATCCAAGAACATTACGGTCACCGACCCGGCTTCCGGCTTAACCTACCACAATCTCTTCGACCAAATGGTGGACGCTTTGATTTTCGCGATGAAAAGACTCGGGTACCCTGATACCCGCATTTGGATAGCCGAAACTGGTTGGCCCAGCGGCGGCGACTATGACCAGATTGGCGCTAACATCCGCAACGCCGCCACTTACAACCGAAACGTTGTAAAAAAATTCAACGCGAAACCACCGGTGGGGACGCCGGCCCGACCTGGTGCAGTGCTCCCGAGCTTCGTCTTTGCTCTATTCAACGAGAACACCAAACCGGGTCCCAGCACGGAGCGGAATTTCGGCTTTCTATACCCAAACGGGTCGAATGTGTACCCGATTGACTTAAGCGGGAAGACGCCCGATTCGGAGTACGGGCCGTTGCCGGTGGCGATGAATAACGAGCCGTATAAGGGGCCGATTTGGTGCATGGTGGCGAAGGGAGCCAATCAGAGCGCGGTGGCGTCGGCCCTATCGTACGCCTGCTCGCAGGGGAATAAAACTTGTAACCCGATTCAACCCGGAGGGAAGTGCTTTAAACCGGATTCGTTGGCTTGGCACGCGAGCTATGCGTTTAGCGCGTATTGGGCTCAGTTTAGGAAGGCTGGTGGGAGTTGTTACTTTGGCGGGCTCGCTACTCAAACCATCAAGGATCCAAGTAAGTACAAATTTTCTCTTTCTTCTAGTGATACGCTACTCCGATTTAAATTACAGGAAGGGAATTCGAACTTGTATGCATAGAGGATGTGAGTGGTCAATTGATTGCATTGTACCAATCAACCGGCCACTCGCATCTCGGAAAATGCATCCTACGTTGTAAAAAAGAAAAAAAAAACCTCTGTTTATTAATTATTCCTAGTTGTATGCAAATTTTAGGGCATATTGTTCAAACAAGTCCTTTCAAGTGCAATTGTGTTATGCTTCTTCTTATGCGTATTCTCCTTCTCTGTTTCAGGTTATGGATCCTGCAAGTTCCCCGGTGCCAAACCATGAGCGACGACGGATACAATGGCAGCATGACGGTCTCTTTTCCGTGAATAAGCTGAAATTTTTTTTCTTGGGACAGTTGTTTTGGGTTCCCCCTTCATTCTTGTGATCTAATCTACTTAAGATTTAGATGATTTATAGAGCGTATCATTTAGTTCTTCTCAAAAGAGTGACCTTTTAGTTAGTAGTACAAGTTTTAGATCAAAAAATGGTCACTCACCCAAGTGAGCCACATTTGGATTCTTTTCCATCCGAAGGCTATATTTCTGCTCCTACTGTGACCGTTGTTCTTCTTTTTCCTTGTACTTTCCCTTGGCTTTCTTAGTATTATTGCAATATTTATATTGGCTATGGAGATTTCTCTCCATTTTTTACACTTTTTGTTTGCGCTCGTTTGCGCATGGTCCTAGTGCTTGTCATGCAATGTTCTGAGCGAGCGAGACCCCCATTGTAAAGGAGAATCTGCGCTGTAACTCGGATATATTTCGTTTGTGTTTACAAAACTACAATATCGCCTTATTCGCATGACTAGTGTTTTAGACACAAGATAGAATTGTATTGACAACACATTGTCTCTGTTGCAACCGAGTCTCATCATAGTTTTGTGGGATAATACTCTTATTCTATATACCCATAATCCAATAATATTTGAACACATGTTTTACTGTTTTAAACAATAATGAATATGTTTTTTTTGTTTTTTGTTTGGGACTTTTAAAAACAAGTAACACGTGTTATCTTTTGATTCGGCCAAATCAAAAGGTGAGTACTACTTGACCTAAATATTATGCAATTCTACACTAATATTCCAAATTCAATAAGCACCGCTATATGCAAAAATTAAAACACATAACGTGCATTATCTGTATTACAACGTGAAAAACTAAAAACACATGTCAAAATGCGTTGTTGATTTGAGACAGACGCTATCAGTGTTGCGTGCTCGGTCTTTATATATATTTCTTCCCAACATGATAGCACATCATGAATGCTCACCGAAAGTGTGTTTCTGCTGCTGCATTGAGTGGACTTCAATTATGTTATTTGCCATTTCAAATCCAATGTTCATTTGACTGTTATTTGGATTATCACATTGGAATTCATTCAAAGATGACGTAACATTATGATTACCACATGATCATCGCTTAATACATTTTGATTAGCATTAACCTTTAGATAATTAAATTAAAAAAAAGGTAAACAATCTAGGGGTGGAAACTTGTTTTCCTTTTTGGAGGCTATGTTGAATGCCTTCCCTACTTGGGCTAAATCCTTTTTCCTTGTCTTGCTGGGCCTTTAAGTACACAAACTAGTTTTACAAACTCCAGCTTTCATAAACAAATTCCGGAGAATAAGTCGCAACAAGACTATAAGATTCTGCCCTAATATCAAAATCGGATAATATTATCCCGACAACATCCGTGATTATGTTTGTTTAAAAAATTTAAAACCCTGTTAGCAAAAAATCGAATCGATAGCTAGATTGTCACTCTAAATACGAATTCGTAAGATAAACCTATATTAAACGTCATGTTTCTCTATTGAAAATTGGATCAATTCTTGATATCATCATAATACGTGTCTCCTATTAGCCAAATTCCGTATAATAAGTCGCAGTAAGAGAGATTGTGCCTTAATATTAAAATCGGCTATATTACCCCGACAACTTCCGTGATTATGTTTGTACTAAGAAATTTTGGTATCTAATATGTACACGTTGGAAGGTGATTCACAAATCTAAACCCTATTAGCCAAAAATCGAATCAATGGCTGGAAAGTTCACATTAAATACAAATTCGTAAGATAAACCCATACGGAATTTTATCCTTTAGTCATAGATGTCCGTGCTTATACTACATTATAGGAAGTAGAATACTTTTTCTTTCAGTTTTCAATAGGGAAGTGTTATTGACACTCCAAAAATTTCATTCTACACTCCTCACTAGTGTATTTTTCTTTCCTATTATAGAAAGTTTGGAGCGTATAATGAGATTTTTGGAGTGCTAATAACAATCCCCTTTCAATAAGGTTTTTTATACAATACACATAATACACCCCAAAGGATTTCTCACCAAGAAAGACCCTTATTGTCGTTATAAAAAAGAAACGAAGTACGTGAGAGTTGCTACAAAAATATGCAAATGTTTTCCCACAATCTTCATCCATCTAAATCACTTCCTTTATCGTCATTAACCCTTGTGATTATGACACTAATCCTGACCATGGCGACACCGAAGAATTATTGAGCAACCTCGGTTATAGGGGTTTATGGGTTTGCGTGGACCTTCGGTTTCATGGTAACAACCTGGATGTGGCCCGCCTGGTCTTCTGCATCGGTCGAGGACTCCGGGGTCAATGCGGTTCCTTTCACCTTTGACTTCGGAGTTTAGCACCACCATGCTAACGAGGAGCAAGCAGAGGATGAATGGTTTCATGTTTGAAATGCCCATGAGTATTATTTGTAAATGTATCTCTAATAGTTTGTATTTGTACGTTCACTCTTGGCAGAAGACTATCAATTTATATGAGTTTTCGCCATGGTTGAGTTAGAAACAATGGGTTTTAACAGATATTTGTGTTTGTTTCTATGGTTTCAGTTGTTGATCTTGAGAGGTATATGCAGCAGTTACATAACAGACTACTATATAAAGGCCATGGGTTACATGTCAATGGTTGAGCACTTATCTCTGTGTCAACGATATGGTGGAAGCATAGAATGCATGGCAATTACACGTAAAATCTCAATTCCAAACAAAAAAAATTCTCAATTCATTACAATATCGGGAAATATTTTTTATAAATGAAAGTGCTTTTAGAAAAAAATATTTTTGGCTTGCTACAGGAAGTACTTCAAGTGTTTTTCAAGGATTCACTTGCATTTTTACTAAGAATTGGTTCCAAAAACATTTTCACCAAAATCACATTCAGCCATTTTAAAAGCACTTCCAAACAAACCCTAAATTTGTAGTAGGATTTTTCGAACCAAACAAACTCAAGTGTGATGTCGTTATAGAATATTGTAACTGAAATAGAAAAAGTATAAAAGGAAAGAAAACTGTTGTTAGCACTCTAAAAATCTCATTCTACACTCTTCATAAGTGTATTTTTCTTTCTAAATAGAAAGTTTGAAGATCTAAACGAGATTTTTTTAGTGCCAATAACAAGTCTCGAAAGGGAATTGTGGTAGAAATTACAATAGGCTATAATTATTGAATAAATAATAATTAAAACACAATCATGATTAAATAAAGGCGTGTAGGAGTAAAAAAATGTATTTGTTATATTTCTCTATTGAAAATTGGGTCAATTCTTGATATCGTCATAATACATGTCTCCCATTAGCCAAATTCCGTATAATAAGTTGCACTAAGAGAGATTCTACCTTAATATTAAAATCGGCTAATATTATCCTTTTGGTGGGAATCCGAAGATCAATTAATCGTGTATGTTCATCGTATATCGTGCAGTTAATTTTTATTAGGTACTATTTATATTTAATTTTAAATTTTGAATTTTAAATAACTTTTAACCGCACGATGTACGATGAATGAACACGATTGATTGATTCTCTGGATCCCCACAAAGATGATCTGGAGAGGATCCTATTCCTCTGCATAAGACATGTCTCCTTCTTCATGTTTAATCATTGAAGGGACTGTCACAGTGGCATCCGGTGCTAATGAAATAAAGGCATGTGTAAGTTATTTTTGTCTAAATGTCTTTGTTTTATTGGCTCGTGATGTCACGTGACGGTGAACCCATGATATGTAAACTATTGTCCAATGACGTATGTGACTAGAAAACCAAGAAAATGGTTATATTTAATCTTAGGATAATTTTTATTTTATCAAATCAAATGATACATTTTATATTTAAATATTTCCATCATGTGCAAAAAAACCATCTTATTTAAGATGACAATTTTTGTATATAAACGAAAAGATGACAATATAATTTCTGAAAGAAAGAATAAAAAGTTTTAAGGGCATGACAATTTCTTATTTCCAATGAATTCATGAAATCTGATGATGGTGGTTCGTGGAATCAACTTCAAACTATATAACTTTCAAGGCTTCATGTCACCATAAAATTGGACCTTCTGGAGAGAGTGGTCTTCCTACGTTCGGTCCACCTGTATCAAAGATCCTACGTCAAAATGCATGGCAATGTTTTCCACATATAGGCTCCCTTACTAAAATTTCATTATGTTTGCATAGCTAGCACTAAGATAGAACATAATTAACCTCTCTTCTGGCCATGGCGACACTGAAGTATTGTTGAGCAACCACGGGTATAGGGCCTAGAGGGTTTAGGAAGAGTAGGACAACCAGGATGCCACCCTCCTGGTCTTCTACAGGGGTCGGCAGCTTCGATTTCGATGAATTTTTTCCTAGCTTCCACTCCTTTTTTCATCACCACCATGCTGACAAGGAGCAAGCAGAAGATTATTGACTTCATGTTTGAAATGCCCTTAGTTGTGTTTCTGTATTGGCATAAGACACTGGCCATAAATATGAACTTTGTCTAGGGTTTTATTTGCTCTTGACCTTGAGAGGTAAGGTAGCAGTTACAAAATAGGAGTTACATGTGGAAAGAAGTGAAAACATGAGGGTTAAGTTTCAAATTTTAACTTTAATAGTTGAGTAATTATCTCCACAGAAACAGTAAGAAGAAAACATGAGGTTTAAGTTCCAAGTTTTAATTAGGATCTCTATGCATGCACTGCATTATGCTCTTCGCCTTGAGATGTAACGTAGCAGTTACAAAATAGTAAATACATGTGGAAAGAAGTGAAAGTGTAACAGGGGGTTTGTGTAGGCAGTGTATTCGAGTTATAAAAATTGCTCTATATCTTACAACTATAATGCCTTTTAGGTCATTTTTGTTGTTATTATTAGAGATCAACATTCTACATACTTTAAAAAAAAAAAACATACTACATATTACATATATAACGAAGTTTTTTTTTTAATTTTTTGAAAAGAAAGTAGGGATAAACAACGTTGCAGTAGCCAACTTAGATGAACACACAAAATAAGGATAAACATTTCTTGATTAGGTGCAATTGACAAAAAACAACAATTTAAAATATGATTAAATGGTTTGGCCAATGTCAAGGGTATGATGCTGTTATAAAATCGAGTAACAAAAATTCACGTTAAATATAAATTCATACATGAAATTATCGTCGATCTCTATGGAATGTTAGGCTTCAGTCATGGATGTCCATGTTTATACTACATTATAGGAAGTAGAATACTTTACTTTTTTTTTTTTTCCAATAACGTTTGTTATACAATACACATAATAGTATTACACCCCAAGGGTTTTCTCACCAAGTAAGACCCTTATTCTCGTTATATAATAGAAACAAAG